TTCTAAGGAGGCTATGCTATGTAAACATATAGTTAACTGAAGATTTGAATAAAAGGTGTCTAAGTGAGAAGGAAACAGCTTGGTCTGTGTGAAGAACAGGATGACCAGAATGATGGGGTCGTGGGAATGAGACAAGTGATGAGAAGTAGCAAGATTCAGATCACATAAGCTTTGTAAATAAGTATGAATGGAGAGTTTAGATTTATTTTGTATTGCTGTGCATAAGCATGAGAATGAACTGATCTGATTTATAGTTTTTAGAAATACATATTCAGGCTTCCAGGTGGAGGCCATATAGTAAGGAGGCAAAAAGCAAAAGCAGTGGGTCAAGCTAGGGTAATGGAGCAGTGGAGATAACAGAACACAGTTCAATTGAAAAACCATTAAGACAGCATTGGATGTGGAGGTGATAGAAAATCTGGAAACTAGGGTGACCTCTAGGCTTTTTGGTCTTAGCATCTGAGTTTGGAATAATTGGAGGGGAAGAAAAATCAAGTTCTGGATTAAACATAATCAATCATGAGATCTTTTATCCATCAAGCAACTATAGCATTTGGATATATGGATATAAACTTCAAGGCAGAGATTTGGGCTAGAGATAGAAATTAGCAGCCATCATTTGACATATGGGACCCGAGAAGAAGAGAAAACCAATGACCAGTGACTGAGGTAGTCCCACATTTAGCAGACAGAAGTCTTTTCCTTGCAAGCACCTTAGGCTGTTGTTTAACTTGAAAACCCCAATTTGTCTTTATTCCACTTCTCTTCCCTCTTCCATGACACCCTAGCTCTTCTTACCAAGATAAGTGTGCTAAGACTGTGTGAGGAATCATGGAAGATACTGATGTGATGAGTAGTAATGGAGGCTCTGGAGACAGAAGAGTTGGATTCATATCCTCACTTTACTGTTTAACAGCTTGATAACCTTGGATACTTAACCCTGTTTCTCTAAGCCTCAATCTTTTCATCTACAATAATAAAATAATACCTAACATCTATCTAATATTACATGCTAACCACTGTTTTCTGTCTTTTTCACATACTAAATACATAAAACAATACAGTCTGACTCTGGAAACAATGCTATTTTTTCTATTATCTAATTCAGAGCTATAGCTAGGATTAAAGGAGGTAATTGAAGCCAGGCATGGTAGTGCCCACCCTTAATCCCAGCACTCAGGAGGCAGGCAGATCTCTATGAGTTCAAGTCCAGCCTGGTCTACACAGCAAGGACAGTTGGGGTTACAAGGATACAGGGAGACCCTGTCTTTAATTAATTAATTAATTAAAGGCAGTAACTTGCTTACCTGAGCAGTTCAGTGAAGCCTGAAATAAATGTGCATAATACACATTAATGTTCTGGAGACAGCCTAAAGGGGTGTGGATGTGGGGTGAGACAAGAGGACCCCTGGAGCTTTTAGGACAGCCAGTCTATCCAATTAGTGAGTTCCAGGTTCAGTGAAAGACATTGACAAAAAAATAAGATGGAGAAGTGATTGGAAAAGATATCTGATGTTCTATTGGCCTCCATATGCACATACAACCACACACATATATGTGCACCCCCACATGTACACAAACACACACAAAAAGTCTTCAGGATTCCAGCCTGACTGCAAGAGCAGCTTGGGTGACCATGACAAAGTTTCTTGCTTTCTCTGAACTTTAGTTTTGTCATCTGCAATATAAAATCTTTGACTAGTTCACCTCTGAGCTCCTTTTCAGTGTTAAAATTAGGGGGAAAAATCTTTAAACTATAAGTCTCCAAGAATACTAAAACAAATTACATATACTTTTGAATTTGATGGGGAAAGGAATCCACATCACATTGGGGGTAATGGAATAAGACTACCTAGAATTAGCCTGCAAACATGTGCGCCTTGCCCTTCTGTTGTCAAAGATGCTTGCTAGGAAGTAATGAAACAGCAAAGGCCCATGAATTCTGGGATTAAACCATCGTGTATTGAAACCTGTCTGCATCACCTACTAGTGTGACCTTGGACAATCCACTTCTCTGTTTCCATGTCATCTTTTATAAACTGGGCATGCTTAACTGTGCATGTAAGAAATGGCATGTGCTATGCTTACTACATTCAGTACATAGTAGCAATTGTACCCATACTCTCATAAGGATTCACAGAGTTGAAAGGACTTTTTTAGCTTAAGTTCCAAATGAAATAGAAGACCTTCAGTAACCCTTTCTTTAAAAATGGAGCTGCAGATTACCTGGCTGGATACTCTAGTTGTTGGAAACTGAAGGCATGAAACCTGAATTTCCTAATTGTGGAGGCATCTAATTGGGAATGCCTCCCAGCTCTCTCTTTTACCAATATGCATGGACTACTTCTCTAGAACAGTTGTCCTTTGCTGCAAATCTGCTTCTCTAGCATTCTCTTAATGTCAGAAGATAATTGGCTCACCTTTAGACACATTTACTCTTGGTCTAAAGGAGTCTGATACTTTTAAATGACATTATTTTCTACCCTGTAGTAGGCCATCTGATTGGCATCCCCACCAAGTCATATGGAATTAGGATATTGTTGTTTTGTTTTGTTTTCCCAAAAAGAAAGAAGAGCCTTGGGAGGCAGAGGCAGGTGGATCTCTGTGAGATTGAAGTCGCCCTGGTCCATATCATGACTTCCAGGCAGTCTGGAACTAGGGAGACCCTGTCAAAAAACAAACAACACCCCCCCCCAAAAAAATGACTAAGCAAGCAAAAAAGTGATGGCTGTTTTAGACTAAGTGATAAAAATCACCCACCTTTCTATTATAGTTATTGATAGAAGGGAGCACTCCCTAGAACCTGCTTGATCTTACTTAGCAAGTTTGGCTCAGTAGAGCCAGACTGGGACAAAATGTTTAAATCCCACAGAAGTAGATCTCCTTTTTACTTTCATTTTCTTTCCTCTTCTCTCCCTGAATTTAACTAGATTTTAATACTTAATTCCAAAGAAGATTCTTCCTTTTTCATTTTTACTTACATATTGATTTTAATGTAGTAGGTAAGAAGATGGGCTCAGGACTTGAATTGCTTAAATTCCAATCCTACCTATGTCATTTGCACACTTTAAAACTGTTAACAGTTTACTTAAACTGTTGCCTCTTTCCCCCTCCATAAAATGAAGATATGTATCTTCTGAAACTGTTTTGGGATTAGACAGTCAATGGGAAGTGATTAGCACTGGGTCTCCCACTGGAGTCCCAGAATCTGTTGTTACTTCCGTGTCTTCAGCTTTGGCGCAGCCTATCTATCCTTTTAAATGTGATGAGAAGGCTGAGGTAAGCTGAGAGGCAATTTAAAAAGTATATTTTGCTACCTCAGGAAGGAGAGTCAAAGCCAAATTAAAAAGAAGCACTTGGAGCTTCTCCAAATTAGAGAAGCTAAGTTTAATAATGATTTTAGTTTTTACAAGTCACTAACATTCTTGTTGACTCTTCCTTGTAGGTGACAATGAGCAATTAACTTTTCTAAGTTTCTTCTTACTCTTTTGAAAAAGTAAAGAATTTGGGGTAGAATGATCTCTAGTTTTATCATTCACTAATCCTTAGTTGTTTAAGAAAATAAGGTCAAAAGTATATTTTTGAAACATGTTTCAAAATATTTATTGAAAAACAATTTACCATGATATTTCTATACCACAAACATTCCAAAGGGCTCTAAATAGCCAGTAAAAGTATACAAAGCTTATCCTGAAAATATCTTTGGAGATACTACATATATAGGCCCATTATGATAGAGCTGAGCAACTAAAAAATGCTACTCCTTGGTCAATACACTACTTGGTAATAAAGAGTGCCTCTTGACACAGACTGCAATCAACGGGTGGGGGGACAATTACATAAATTGCAAGTGTGCCAATTTATCCTTTCCAGAATTTAAAGGAAAAGTTAATTCAGTTAGAGGACTAAACCCAGGTCTCTGAATCCAAAGTCATCTTAAGGTGTAGGCTTGCCTCATTTGTTTGAAAGCATCCCCTAATAAATTCCCTCCTAAGGACCTAAATGCAGTGGCTTATAACTAAGAAGCCTGCAAGCAGCAGTTTTAAAGTTAAAACCAGGAAAGTTAAAAAGTGTTTAAGATAAACTTTGAAATCTCTAATTTTTTTGTACTCTACATGATACTTTGTTTTTCCCCTTATCTGACATGCATGTTAAAAGAACACCAAAATTCAACACACATCCACTCACCCACATACTGCTCCAAGGATCACTAGGAGCAGTATCTCTAACAGCCAAGTCATGAACCCCTGAAAATAGGGGAGAAACCACTAGGCACAGATTCTTAACTGTAGAGGCACCAGACGGGCCACTGTACTAAGAATTGAGGTAACAGCAAAATAATTCTTCTTTTTGCTACATATCACAACTTCTTAAAATTGAGTATTACCTCCATATTAAATAACTTGACTAGCTTAAAACTAGAAGAAAATCAAAGCCCCCAATAACTGAAACAGGTCTCAGAGAATGAAAGTATTTGTACTTAGTATATATGTGTGAATATGTAAAAGAGACATAAAAATAGTGAATTAATTTATATTGGGAGAGTGACTTGTATTGAGCTTATAAGTTGACTTGATCAGTTGTATTTTTCTTAAGGGATTATTAGATCCCCTTTTATAGTCTACTGTCTAGATCATTTCTAAGTATTTGTTAATCCTTTCTTCCATCAGTCTCAGATTTATAAAGGAGCATGTTTAGGTATTATACCTATTCTGTAATATTTGTCTTAGAGGCTGAACATTGGTTTGGAGACCTGGTAGCACTATGTATTTTGCTGCATTATCTTGGACAAACTACATTCCTTCCAAGGGGCTTCCTTCCCTTTTTCTGAATAATGAGTAACTTCTATGCAGCTCTTAAACCTTTTCCTAGAGCCTATGATTTTATGACTGTCACAGCATAGGTTGTGGAAGGAGTAACTAGATTCCAAACGGAGAACTTCATAGCACCATGCCCTTTTGGAACATTTCTTAACCTGTTCTCCATTATGTTTACTGCAGGATTTAGGCTGAATGCCTCTTCTTGGCCCATGTTCCTTTTGAAGACACTAAATGGAGCAGAGATGGCTCCCGTCAAGATTTTCCACAAGGTATACTGTCCCTCAGATATCACCATCTACAAGCTTCTTAAGATCAAATATTTGTCTTTTTCAATTACTGAGCATCTGTTGTCTTTGGTATGAGTGTGCGTCTTAGAAACTAGTTCAGTTAAAGGTTTTAAAACCTACAAAGCAGAACTGGAGAGATGGCTTATCAGTTAAGAGTACTTTCTGTTCTTGGAGAGGACCCAGGTTCAGTTCCCAGGACCCACACAGCTGTTGACAACTGTCTGTAACTCCAGTTTGAAGGGATGTGACACTCACTCTCTTGCGGCCTCAGTGGGCATTGCACACACATGGTGTTCTTGCATACATGCAGGCAAAACACTCATGCACATAATATAAAAATAAATAAATAAATAAATTGAAGAACATGCAAAGCAGCAGTTATCCTCAGATAGACATATTAGGCTATGATAAGACAAGATTACTGGTTTGAGGCTCCCAATTGTCAATAACAAGTTAATCTAATAAGATTCTTTTTTACTTTAACTGCAAAGAGATTTCCGCCTACCTTGTTAAAACTTAAATGTGTTTATTAGAACTATAAAATGCAGTATAAACCTAAATTCTTATACAGTTCTATAGTTTGTATTCTAAAAAAGGAAAGACTATTATTTGAGTGCCTATCATATGTTTGGAGCCTTATATTTATTATCTCATTTGATACCCACACCTGACTGACTTATATGTACTAAGAATTATTCATTCTGTTTAATAATTAAGGAATTATATTTTTGAATAAGGAACATGCTCAAGATCACATAGCGAGTGAACGACAGAACAGGGATCCACAGCCTGTGTTCATTCTTCCTGTTTTTCAAAGGAAGAGAATGTCAGTTAGCTGTTAGTTGACTTATCCAGTGCAGTGAGAGTTACAGTAGAGATGACTGAATTAGGTTTTCCTGTGCTGCTAATTAAGTCTCAATCCTGAGAACACTCTAGTTCTCAAAATATAGTACATTGGACAACTTGAAAACTCTTTCACTAAGAAATACCTCAAAATGTGAGATGGATATTGAGGAGGAACCAACAATCCTGTTTAGTGCTCTGTTGAGCCTACCAGAATGTAAGAAAACTCTTCATAAGCCGAAAGCAAGATGAAAAGCAACAGTGTTAAATGTATGTGCTAAATGTGTAACTATCTTAAGGGACTTTGCCAGTCTTTAAGAATCTTGTCTTGTGGGCTGGAGAGATGGCTCAGCAGTTAAGAACACTGGTTATTCTTGCAAAAGACCCAGGTTCAGATCCCAGCACCCACATGGCTGCTAACAACTGTCCATAACTCCAGTTCCAGGGTATCCGACAGCCTCTTCTGTCTTCCACAGGCATTGCACAACATGGCTGCACTTACCTACATGCATGCAATACATTCATGCACATAAAATAAAAATAATGAAAATATTTTTAAAAAGAATTTTGTCTTGTTATACCAATGGTGAGACACAAGATGAGGCCTCAAAACATGCAAGGCAGGAAGTGGACCTTAGAACCAGGTCAAATCCCTCAAATGCTTAGCTGTTAGTGAAAAAAATTATTACAGTTATGAAAAGAGTGTCTGTTGGACTCTAGGTAGGGGTAGGGGTCACAGGCATCTCTGATTAAACACTTTCCCCTCTTGTAGTTGGATTGCCTAGGAACTTCAAAGTTATATGGAGGTATTTCTGTGTTCCTGGCAGAAGCAAACCCAGAAGCTCTCTGGAGGGTTTGATGTTACAGTAATCCCAACGTGAAGCACCACTGAAAATGAGCATTGGGTCCTGAATTTGAAAGCCCTCAAAAACTTTCAAAGAAAATATGATATGATGTAATCACAGCAAATAATCCAGTTCCTCAAGGACTTTCAGATAATAGAAATGTCCACTAGAGACAGCATTCAGGAGGCAGAGGCAGGCAGATCTCTGTGAGATCAAGGCCAGCCTGGTCTACATAGTGAGTTCCAGGCCAGCTGGGGCTACAGGGAGACCTTATAGTCTTTAAAAAAAAAGAAGAAAGAAAGAATGAATGAATGAAAAGAAAGAAAGAGAAAGAAAGGGAAAGAAAGAAAGGAAAAGAGAAAATGCAAAACACTTTTTTTACTTTTACATTTTTTTATTTTATTGTGGGGGTTGTTACTTGCCATGGCATACATGTGGAGGTCAAAGGACAACTTACAGGAGTTGATTCTATCCTTCCACTGTGTGGGTTCTGGAGATGGAACTCAGGTTGAGGATGAAACTCGGGTCATCAAGCTTGTTGGCAAGTACTTTTTCCAACTAAGCCATCTCACTGGCTCCAAACACTATTTTTAAATGGCACTTTAAAAAATACTAATAATAGCTAAGTTTCACACCTAGAAGTAAAACACTGAAAATTTTCAAACCTTTAAAATTAAAATTTTCTAGGTAGATTTATAGTAACTTAAACATGTACACCTAAAGAATTAACTGAAATACCTATGTAAGGAATTTCCCTCAGACTGTAGCACTGAGAGGTAAAGAAACAGAAATACTAAGGGGAAAAAAGCCAAGAAGATATAAGAAGGCTTCATACATGCTAACTATTAAACCCAGGAAGATTAATTAGAAAGGATAAGAAAGAGACAATATTTGAAAAGAAAACAGTTTTCCAATACGTATAACAAAAACAAGTACACACTATAAGACATTGTCATATTATAACTATAGGAAACTAACATCAAAAGAGAGATCTGAACAAGTAATCAGATAAAACAAGGGGGTTACATTAGCTAACAGTACAGCAGTAGCCATTCAAGTCAAAATAATGGAATACTTTTCAAAGTAATAAGTCATCTACCTAAAAGTGTACACCTGATTACACTGTAATTTCAAAATGGAGGTGAAAATCAGGCTTATCAATGCAATGCAATGCAAACAAACCAATGCAAGTAGAGCCCAACATAGCCATTGAGAAAGCATCAGAAGAGTGTTTCAGGAAGAAAGAATTTGGACCATAAAGAATGAGTTAGAAGTTGAAGTGAGGAAATAGACTGGTTAACATATAGATGACTGTATAATCTAATTATAGTAACAAAAGTCACTAATTGGAACTGTAACAGTGTAGAACTTAATTGCCTATTCCTCTATAACTTCGGATTACTTAAAACAGTCTAAAGATCTTCTAATGTCTAGGACTAGAAATAAAGATGTTTTCGTTTGTTTGTTAACCATACAGTTAAAATCTTAAGGGAATCTACCAAACTGTTTAAATAGAATAGAATCAATGAAGGAGAAAAGGGGAAGAAAATTTAATAAAGATATTTAAGACATTATATGTCAACTATACAGTTAAAATCCTAAGGGAATCCACCAGGCAGTTATTAGAGTGTTTAACTTCAGTGAAGGGAAAAGAGGAAAGAAAATTTAGTTGATTGAAAAAGAGTAAAAGAACCATAAATCAAACAAAATAGAAACATCAACAATAATATAATTGTAATAAATGCAGATGGGCTTGGTGGCATATTCTTGTAGTTCCAGCTTCTTGGGAGGCTAAGACAGAAGGATCACTTCAGCCCAGGAGTTTGAAGCAAACCTGGGCAACATATCAAGACCATTTCAAAATTAAGTAAATAAATAATCAAATATTTGGGTACTTCATTTATCAAGAGAAATGTCCTTAAACTCATCAATTTTAATTATAAGGTGCTATTTATAACAGGTACTGCTTATACATAATAACATGAAAATGTTGGTGGAGCTGGAGAGATGAATCAACAGTTCAGAGCACTTACTGCTCTTGCAGGGGACCAGTGTTTACATTTTAGCACCCATATTGGACAGCTCTTAACCATGTATTCAGGGGTGCTCCAGTGAATCTGATGCCTTCTCTGGCCTCAATAGGTACCACCACTCACTTGCACTTACCCACACTCAAACACACATAATTTAAAACAATGAATCATTTTTAAAATGTATTGATAGCTGGGTATGGTGGCCCGCGCTTTTAATCCCAGCACTTGGGAGGCAGAGGCAGGCTGATCTCTGTGAGTTCAAGGCCAGCCTGGTCTACATAGCAAGTTCCAGGCCAGCTGGGGCTACAGGAAGACCCTGTCTCAAAAGGACAAAAAAAGTATTAATAACAATAAATCATTAGGAATTGGTTTAATAATATATCTATTTAACAGAATAATAGTATTAGGCTCTCCCCTATGGCCTGTGACCTGTCTAGCCAAAGATTGCTAGACTTGATATAAATATCAGGTATAGTCTCCATCTTATGAAGTGGACCTTAAATCCAATTCAAAAGTGTTTGGTTATTCCAATAATTTTCGTGCCACTGTTGCACTAATGGGGTATATCTTTCCAGGCCAGTTGTAGCCCGCGGGATTCACAGCTGGGTAAGGTTAGTGATTAATTTTCTCTTCTGGTAGCATGAATAGCACCTTCCAGCCCTATGGAAGCTATCCAGTAGAGACGAAGCTTTGAAGTCAGTATGAGCTTGATTTATCCTTGTTTGTTCTATGGCTCATAAAAGCAGGGGCAATGGCTAATGTTGTTTGAGGGTCTGTGGGATCCCTAGTCAATAGCTTCAAAAGAGGGAGTTCATTCTTGGTAGTGGCTTTTACTTTGCTAGACTATGGTGTCTAGTAGGAGCAATGTCCTCCCTGTTATAAGGTTACACCTTTTAATCTCTTTTTGTAATATGTATGTATGTTCTTAAGAAGCTTCTGTAGTGGTAAGTTTCCATCTGGCTTTTGCTAAAGATCTTTAATGTCCGTTATCCCTCTCTATACTCCCTTCTCTGCCCTGCCCTCCCATCCTCCACCCCATTTAACCCTTCCTAGTCTATTATTCCCCACCACCACCACCTTTATACCCCTGCATTCTCTCCCCTCCCAAAATGCCTTCTCCCATGGCTATTTGTTAATTTCCTGACCTCTGAATTTTCCAGTTGAAACATGTATATCTAAGAATTCAAAGCTAGAGAGAAAACATTGCAAAAGAATATGATATATTGGGCAAACTTGTCAAGATAAAAATTGATATAGGGGGTTGAAGAGATGGCTCAGCAATCAAGAGCTCTTGCAGAAGTTTGGAGTTCAGTTTCCAGAATCCACTTTGAGCAGCTCACAACTGCCTGTAATTCCAGCTCTATGAGATCTGACCCCTCCTTACAAATAACAAACCAAATGACAAACTGAAGTTCAACCTGGGGTCCAATGAGTTTAATGAGCTTACTTATATAGCATAGTGAGAGGTTGTTTGCAGGAGCATGGGTAACCCCAAAACACTGGAAAATCTTTACCGAACATGACTGATGGCTTCCCCATGGACACATATGTAGATGGAATTCCCCCTGCCCCGCCCCTGTTAACCTTCCCCAACATATAAACTCTAGCACCTCCCTAGACCCCAATGGCATATCAATTAGGACAGAATTGTATACAGATGACTGGGAGGTATAGGAGGAAGCAGCCAGAACCTCAGGTGAGGGTTCAATGGCCCGACCTTCTCCCTCTTTCTCTAAGGGAAGTTCAATAGGCCTCTAGTGATGATCTCTTGTTAGCAAGCACAGCCAATCTGATGAAGACAACTGTTTTGCTTGGATGACCATGTTCTACAACACATGGCAAAACTGGAAATTCTGCAATCGGTAAGGGATATTTTAATGCATATTTTACTTTTTGACATTTTTATTGAATTTCTGTGTGTTTCATAAAAAACATCTTAATCGTCTTTACAACCCCTCCCCTATCTGCACCCCCTCATAGCCACCCCCACCAGATTTCATGCATCCTGTCATTTATGTTAACTGTCCCCAGGTGTCCCTCAGTGCAAGTTCATCCACCAGGGTCTAGTCAGCCTATCTAGAGTCCCTTAAAGAAGATCAGCATTCTTTCACTGAGCAGTAATCAGCTGCTAACAGTTCTTCAGCTAATATTGGGACCTGCTGCCCATTTCCCCAGTTCTATGCTGGGTTTTTGCCTGCCTGAGTTTGCATGGGTATTGTGCATGCTAACATCATTGCTGTAGATTCATATGAGCAAGGTCTCAGGAGCCTGTAAGACTATTTCCATATGGTTATGCATCTCCTCCCCTGGCTTTTACAACCTTTCTACCCCTTCTAAAATGGTCCCTAAGCCCTGGGTGGGTGGAGTTTAACGTAGGAGTCCTGTCTAAGGACCCACATTCTGTAGACTCTTATTCTCTATGCTTTGGCCATTTGTAGTCTTTTGTGTTCATTGCCCAATGTTGCATGAGGGAATTTCATTGATGAGAGTTGAGAGATGCATTAGTGTTCTCTCTACCCCTTGTTCCACCATGTTCTGTGAGTCTTAGGTGCAGAGATTCCACTGTAGATGTGTCGCTTAGGATTGGACATTTCATAGACACCTATTCTGTGCATGTGACCAGTTGCAGAACTCTGTAATAGTCTCCGTCTGTTGCAAAAGAAGCTTCTTTAATGAAAGGTGTTTGGAATACTTGTCTATAAATATAAGGATTTATATTTGGCCTATAGTAAAAAATTACATTTGCTTAGGGATGTGACAGATTTAGGGTTTTCTCTAAGATCTATGACCTCTCTGGCCATCTGTACTTGGCTATGTTGACAATATCACACATTAATTCCCTCCCATTGAGGGAGCTTTAAGTCCAATTAGGGAGCTGTTAATTACCCCCAAGATAAAAGTGACACTACTGCACCAATGTAGTTTGCTGTGCCTGTCATTGTTGTGGATATTAGGCCTTAAAACTGGGGTTGGACTATTGATTGATGTTGTCCCTTAGCAGCTTGCATAGTGTCCTACAAAACTATGAGAGCTAGCCTTCTGGGAGGTGGCTTCCAGTCAGTTCCAGCTCCATTGTGCCAAACCATGTGTCCGAAGTATGTCCTGTCTTCAGCAATAGGGTCTTTCCTTCAAGTTCTGGGAGGAAATCAAGAGCTGTGGCAATAGCCTGTGTAATTTTGGGAGTTTCTTAGACTGCCCTGGCCAACAACTTGAAGGGAGGTTCTCCTGTCTGTCACTGTTTCTTATTATATAGTCTTCAACTGTACACATGAACATGTGTAGAGATATTATATGTGTAATTTTTCAGTAGACTTTTTTGTTTATGTATTTATTTGTATGTGTGTATTGTCTGCATATGTGTTAGTGAACCCGTGTCATGCAGTGCCCACAGAGGAGAGAAGAGGGCATCAGATCCCCTGAAACTGGAGTTATAGACGGTTGTTAGCCGCCATGTAGATGCTGGGATTCAAACCCAGTTCTTTGCAAGAACAGCCAGTACTCTTAACCATTGAGCCACCTCTCCAGCCCCCTCAGTAGACTTTTGAACTAATGCAGTTCCCTCTGGTTTTTCACACCACCTAAGCATTATTTATCTATCCTCTCTCTCTTCCTGTCTAACTCTCCATCTTTCCTCCCCAGTTAAAGTACCCTCATTTTCCCCATTTCACACTTGATAATACCTATCTCCTATGGTTCCCCCCTTCTCTTGGGCTTCTTCTTCCTCTTTATCCCCATGGTTCCTTGTATAGCCTTCCTTCTTCCCCTCCCTTAATGCATATTTTTCAATAATTGGTAAATAAGGGAGACAGAAATAGGAATACCAATGGCTATCACTTCACTGATAAATTTTTAAGCATTAGTTCATTCATCTTTAACAGTTTTGATAATAAAATCTTTAAAATGTCATTTATGTTAATAATAGAATTAGAATACACTTAGGAAAAAGAAATATTAGTTAAAATCATGAGGGACTGGTTAGATGGCTTAGTAGGTAAAAGCAAGCCTGATGAACCTCAGTTCAGTCCCTGAGACCCACATGATGGTAGAAAGATAGAACTGACTTGGGGCTGGATAGATGGCTCAGTGGTTAAGAACCATTATTATTCTTCCAGAGGACCCAGGTTCAATTCCAGGCACCTACATCATGGCTAACAACCATCTGAACTCCAGTTCCAGGGGATCCAACACTCTTTTCTGGCCTCTGTAGGCATTGCAATGCATGTGGTGCACTTATATAAATGCAGGCAAAACACTCATACACCTAAAATAAAAATAATAAATAAATATTTTTAAAAAGAAAGATAGGACTCCTACAAATTGTCCTTTGACCCCATGCATGCCATGGCACATGTGCGCACGCACACACACACACACACACGCACAAAATAAATAAATGAATAATAAAATCAAAAGATTTTTAGAGCATGAGATACTTTGGAGGACATTTAAAATGTTATATTAAAAGAGAAATCTGTATTAAAGAAGTTTTAAATGGAAATAGGCTATCATGCTCATAGATGAGCTTCAGTGTTATCAGTGACAAAGGTTATTTCTTCTCTAATCAATCTATAAATTCATTGAAATTCCAGTCAAGATCGAGATAAGGTTTTTCTGTGTAACTTGAAAAGGTAATTACATTCATTTGAAAATTAAAGAGAACTCAGAACAGTGCTAAAGAATGACAAAGTAGAGGGACATTTCCTACCAGGTATTCATTTAAGAGTTCTCTGAACTGGCACAGGCTGAGGCAGTAAGACTAGGAGAGCAACACATGTATTTGAAGGATGATCTGTGCACTTACATCACAAGTTAGAACCCAAGATCTCCACACCCAGATCAGTACTGATACAAAACAGCCAGGTATGGTGGCATATACCTATAATCCCAACACTTGGGAGGCAGAAACAGGTGAATCTCTTTGAGATCAAGTCCAGTCTGGTCTACATAGCTAGTTCCAAGACCACTAGGGCTACAGGAAGACAAAACAAAACAAAAATAACAACAACAAAAGAAAAACCTTCCCAAGGTGTAAACAAAGCAACAGTAAAGGTTATTAAAACTCTTGAAATAATTAATAATTAGAAACAACCTTAAATGTCCATAAAATGGTAAATAATAGATTGGGATGTATATGGATGATATATTATTTGTAGTTAAAATTAACTGCACCTAATTTTATCAACATGAGTAACCTTCAAAAACATAATGTTGAATAAAAAAAGAAAATTGAGGTGACCGTGTAAAATTTGAAAGCATACTAAGTGACAAGTACATGCACAGTAAAATATAGAAACACACATGAATAATTATTACCTCAGTAGTAGATAAAGGAGAATGGGACGGGGCACTGATACAAAAAGAGATTCAACTTTATGTGTAATCTTTTATTTTAAAAGATCTGAAGAAAGACTGTCAAAATGTTAGGACTAATAGCATAATTCTTTGGTAGACTTCAAAAATCCGCTTAAAAGAAAGACTGAATCTCCCTGATAAGTCTTACATAACGATCATTTTCAGTCATCCAAATGCTTCAGCAGTCTGCTGCCACTCTCTGTGTCCAGTTCTGAATATTTGTGTTTCTCATCTAGGAGCCACCATCACCTTCCCACAACTTCTTCAAAATGGGGATGAAGCTAGAAGCTGTGGACAGAAAGAACCCTCATTTCATTTGCCCAGCCACTATTGGAGAAGTTCGAGGCTCAGAGGTGCTTGTCACTTTTGATGGATGGCGAGGGGCCTTTGACTACTGGTGCCGCTTTGACTCCCGGGACATCTTTCCTGTGGGCTGGTGTTCTTTGACTGGAGACAACCTGCAGCCACCTGGCACCAAAGGTAAAATCCCACTGGGAAAGCAAGAGCCAGATGGCGAGAGAAAGCCTGTAGGTCTGACGTGGCAGGCCTATCTTCACTAGCACACTTCACTCACAGGCAGGGGAAAAGGAAAGACTGGAACCTTAGGTACAAACCAAGGGCTTCCAGGGAATAATCACTAACAGTTCAGAAATAAGATTAAATGAAGCCAAATGTGGAATTTGGAATGAAGTGAAAAATTATTTCTTTCTTCTAAATATCTCAACTTATTCTCAGGCAGCACCTGCTTTTGCCCTTAACCAATTTCAGACTTTGAATAGTGTCTTTCTCAAGACAACTGTGACCTTGGGCCTTAGGGGCTGTGTAATGATCTGGGGTAACACTGCTGCATGAATATTGAAGATAGCAGAATGGAAAGGGCATGGGCTTTGAAATAAGAACTCATGGGTGTGTGCTACAGCTCTGCCCTTCACCAGAAGTCTCTTCACCTCGCTGCACCCCTGATTCACACATCTGTTAAAAAACATCTACTTTATTCAGTTGCTGAGAGGAATAGATGAGAACACATGGGCAAAATGCATGTATTTGGCCAAATAAGTATCAAGACAATTTTTGTTGTATTACTGCTGCTATTACTATAGCTATGAGCTGTATTATCATTACCATTTAATATATGTTATACTAGACTATTATTACACTACATCATCATTATTATAATACTATTAACTATCAAATTACTACCAATGGGAGAGTAAATAGACAATACTATAGTAGTGCCACAAACTGAATAAACCATAAATTATACCAATTTTTACCTTTTTAAAAAATATTTTATTTTTTTAATTATTTAATATTTTTTATTTTTTATGTGTATGAGTATGTTGTTTGCATGTAAGCGCACCTGTGTCATGCAATGCCTGCAGAGGTCAGAAGAGGGCGTCAGATTCCCTGGAACTGGAGATAAAGATGGTGGTTAGCATACAGGTGACATGTACAGATACAATAATATATAGAAATATACATGAATAATTATTACCTCAGTAGTAGGTAAAGGAGAGTGTGATGGGGGAACGGTATAAAAAGAGATTCAACTTTATATGTAATCTTTTATTTTTAAAAATCTGAAGAAAAGCTGTCAGAATATTAAGATTAATAGCCTTTGGTAGACCTTGAAATCCACAAAGGAAATGAGGGTTCTTTCTGTCCACAGCTTCTAGCTTCATTCCCATTTTGATGATGATAATGGAGATCATCCAAGATAGATTTTTGAGATAATTGCTTTTAGCAACAAAAATAATAACCCCATTCTTTTAAGTCTAAAGCATACGGTGAATCTGAAAGAATGGAAAATTGCCCTATTGTCTCGGAATCTCTTTTCTAAACGTCTATGGAATTCACTCATTAAGTTGGCCAAATATTTATTGAGCACCTAACTGTAAGCCAAGCTGAGGCCTCAGCAGTGACGTAGATGGACAGTCTTGTTGCCCTTGTGATACTTCTGTTCTAGTCATATAAGGCAGAACTAAACATAATAGATCAAGGAATGAGGTCATTTCAGTGACTAGGGATACAGCTCAGTGCAAAGCACATGTCATAGCACAAGTAAGGCCCTGGCTTTAGTCTCTTAACAGTACAAAAAGGTCATATTTGAACATAAACGTATATCCATGATTCCATAAAGTTTCTTTACGGAGAGGGAACTTCTTTATTCAGAATTTCTTTTTTTAATTTCTTAAAATAGTTATTTTCTTTAAAAATAGTTCTTAATTTTTTGCCAGGCATGGTAGCGCACACCTTTAATCCCAGCACTGGGGAGGCAGAAGCAGGCAGATCTCTGTGAGTTCAAGGCCAGCCTGCTCTACATAGTGAGTTCCAGGACAGCTGGGGCTCCAGGGAGACCCTGTCTCAAAATAGTTATTATTTTTATTTTCTGTGCATGACTGTATTGCCTGCATGTGTGTAAGTGCACCCATGTTGTGCAATGCCCATGGAGGTCAGAAGAGGGTGTTGGATTCCCCTGGAACTGGAGTTACAGAAGGTTGTTAGTCACTATGTGGGTGCTGGGAATCGAACCTGGATCCTCTGCAAAAGCAGCCAGTGCTCTTAACCACTGAGATGTCTCTCCAGCCCTGTCAGAGTTTCTTTTCAAGAGAATTTGTCTGAAAAGTTGCTGTCTAAATTGAGACCTAAGAAAAAAGAATGCAAGCATGCAGACAGTACAGCTGACATGAGTGAGCTCCTAGATTCAAGAGCAAAATGAAGACTGCTTTACTAGGGTAGACAGACTGAGGGGGAGATGATCCAAGCTGCTGCTGTAGAAGCAAGGGAGGACCAAATTGTTCAGGGCTTTGTTAAGCCAGAGTGATAATTTTGGACACTATTTTAAATTTATTAAGGAACTATACAAAGATGATCTTTTGACATTGCAGTATGACATTGTCATCTACAAATATGTTGGGTCTCATTCGTAGCTTTCCTGTGATATATGCAGCCCAGCTGCAGAGTGGATGTGCATACAAGGAGTGAGGAAACTGGTTTACTTTTTGAAAGTCCCTTGGACTTATTTCTACAGTATAAAAAGCACACTCATAACTCAGCAATGGAAAAGATACCCCAATTTAAAAATAGGCAATGTGTCCATCAACAGATGAATAGATAAAGAAAATGTGGGGTAGATAACACAATGGAATTTTGCCCAACTCTAAAGAAAAAGGAAATCATGACAATTGCAGAAAAATGGTTGGAACTGGAGATCATTATGTTGAGAAGGCGACCGGTCTCAGACAGACAAATAGCACATGTTTTCTCTCAGATGCAACTCCAGATTTAGATGTGTGTATAAAGAGAAGTGAGATCATGACATTTGAAGAAAAATGGATACAGCTGTGAATAATTATGTTATGCAAAATAAGCCAGACTGACATATTTTCTCTCATATGTGGACTCTAGATTTAAATATTTAAGAGTGTGTGCGTGCATGCATGCATGTATGTGTACTATGGGAAGGGAAGAAGAATTCCTGGAAGGGAGAAAAAAAGAGGCAGTAATGGAATACATGTGACATGAAAGCGAGATGGAATTACTATATGGGAGAAGTAAGGGAACTAGCAAGAGGGGAGCAGTGGGGGTGGGAAGAGTGCAAGGGGGTGAATATGAACAAGTATAATGACATATAGAATGCCTTACTGAAATGCATTACACTGTATGCTAATATAAATAAATAAATGGACAAATGATTTGGATAGATATTTCTCCAAGGAATATGTACAAATCACCAATAAGGCTTTGAAAAGATGCTCAGCCTCATTCATAATTAAGGAAATGCTAATCAAAATTACAGTGAGATACCACTTTACACTCACTTATACAGCTAGACTCAAAAGCTCAATAATGACAAGTACTGTGGAAGGTGTGGAACAGCTAGAATCCTCATTGCTGGTGAGGTTGTACAATGCTGTGGCCACGTTAGAAAATAGTTTGGAAGTTATAATAGTTGAACATAGTTACTATGTGACCCAGAATTTCCACTCATCAGTATATACCCAAGAAAACAGAAAGCATATCCACATAAAACATTAGCGTTCTTAGCAGCATTATTCATTACAGTTCCAAAGCTGAAGCAACCTAAATGCTCATCAGTCGTGAATGGATAAATAAAATGTATAACCATCTAATAAAATATTACCTGTAACAAAAAAGGAATAAGTTGCTGAGGGTGCACGGTCATGGGTATACTGTAAAAGCATGGTAAGTGGAACGAGGACAACTTGGATATGGTTAGTGATCTTGCAGCAAGATGAAAGGCAGACAGGCTTGTTATCTCTGGAAAGTACTGCAAGAAACAGGTGCCCTAGGTCAGCATGAGAAATCTATTGTCATTCTTCTACTTGCCTGCAAAGCTCTGAGAAGCTGCAAGAAGAGGAGTGTCTTGGAACTGGTAGTGAAATAATTTTTTATTAACTTGAGGCTAACCCAGGGTAAGTTCTGGTGCTTCAAGCTTTGTTCAGAAGTAGATTAATTTCATACCTTCTTGCCTAGAGAATTCTGTTCTTTTATTGGGAAATCTTCTAGACCAGTCATGCAGTCCATAGGAAGCTATGGACAGCAGCTGCTGGCCACACATTCCTTTCTGACTGAATCCATGCTGATAAGAAATGACTCACTGTGTGGCTGACAGTTCCAGGACAGTGGGCTGGCTACTGTCTGTCCTCTTCTGTGTTTCTTGGGAAACCTTAGACTTTTAATGACAGATGACCAGAAAAGCCAGACTCAGAGGGCAGAGACCTCCTTCCACAGCATTTCTGGACAGACTTTTTGGTCATCATTCCAGTATTTATCATTCATTTTTCCCTCCAATAACTCTTTCCTCCTTCTCCCTTGCCTCAGTAGGTCCCAAAGTGGAGCTTTCTGTAACAAAAAGTTCAGCCAGCTCCCTGCCCTGGCTAGGAAGCAAGTGATACAACTTGGAAGGAATGTGATTACACAATTCGTTTCACAAAATGAGATGTTTCTATGCATAAGCCCGTTTCCTTTCTGATTATAATGGCTCCTTCATCTTCCTACCTTCTGATCATTAGAATGGAAATGTTTAAAATTCAAAGTAAAATTGAACTGTCTCTTGCTTGTGGTAAGGAAAAATAATATTCATTAATACATGAATATTATCTTTCATGCATATTGTTTCATTTTATTTTTCTGATAGCTCTGAACTAAATGTTATTTTCAAATACATTTTATTTATGAGGAAACTAAAGCTCAGAGTAAGTGACTTGTCTCTGTTGATATGAGCCTATAGGGAGAGACAACTATCAGGCCAGGACACTGAACCATGGTGTCCTCACATCATCCTCACACATTACTCCATATTCTCCATTCTGCTCCATTGGCCTGTACTCTTCAAAGCTTCATTTGTGATCCTAGATTGGGCTTCCAGGTCCTGGAAGGAACTAGAAGAACCAGTATATTATACTTAACAGAGCTCTAAAGTACGTTCTAGCCCTGGTGAGGCCTCATGCTTGTTT